AGGTCTTGAACAGCTTCATATTATGTGTATCGACTTGAGTGCATGGTTAAATTCAGTTACCGGATGATTCGGGGTCGAATTGGGAGAAAGAATCTAGTTTTGGGAGCTTAAGCGGTGAGAATTTGACCAGAATTGTATTTTTGAGTAAACGGCTCCGGAATGGGTTTTGGATAATTTCAACAGCTTTGTATTGTGATTTGGGTCTTAGGCGTGCGTCCGGTTTCAGATTTGGAGGTCCGTGGTGGAATTAGGCTTGAATTGGTGAAATTAGAAATTTGGCGATTTCCGATCGGCAATGGAAATTTGATATCGGAGTCAGAATTGAATTCCGGGAGTTGGAGTAGGTTTGTAATGTCATTTGTGACGTGTATGCAAAATTGGAGGTTATTCGGACGAGGTTTGATATGTTTCGGCATTGATTGTGGAAGTTTGAGGTTTCAAGTTCATTAAGCTTGAGTTGGTGTGCGATTCATATTTTTTGTTATTGTTTGAGGTGATTCGAGAGCTCGATTGAGTTAGTATGGTATTTTAGGACTTGATGGCACATTTGGTTGAGGTTTCAGAGACCTCGGGTGTGTTTCGGGTGAATTTTGAGCGAGTCCAGGCATGGTTCTGGTGCTTAATTTTCACGGACGACGGCAAAATTTCGCTGAGGGCGGAGGTGGGGGCACGGACCGCGTAAATTTGGTCACGGAGGCGCTCCAGGGCAGATCTGCAAATTCGCTGGTACGACTTCGGAAGCCTATATCTTTTGATCAACAAGGAATTTTGATATGATTTAAAAATAAAAGTTGTAGCACTTTGTGTCTAGTTTCCAAAAAGGTAAAGAAATAATCATTTGGACATCTTTAGAGAAAGCTACGGCAAAAATTCTAAAGTGTGGCAGTGCAGTCACCGAAAAGTGCGGCCGCACCATTTTTTCGCGACCGCGGGGCCTGGGAGGCGCGGCCGCGCTTGGAATTTCGCAGAACGCGGTGAGGAAGTTCAGAGAAACACTATTTAAATGAGGGTTAGGGTTTTATTTCACATCTTGGACTTTGGGAGCTCGGTTTGAGGCGAATTTACGGGAGTTTTTCAAGGAAATCATCTGGGTAAGTAATTCTAACTCGATTTTGGCTAATATTCATGAATATGTCATTGAATTCATCATTTGATTCGTAATTCGGGATGGAATTTGGGAAAAATTTGTAAAGTCTTTCAAAAATGTAAAATGATGATTTGAAGGACCAAATAGTATCGGAATCTGATAATTTTTGTATGGGTGAACTCGTATCGGAATGGGTATTTGGTTTTTGTAAATTTTGTCGGGTTCCGAGGTGCGAACCTAAGGAGTTGACTTTTGTTGACTTTTTGCAAATGTATAAGAATCATAGCTTTATTAATTAAAATTATTTTCTCTTGCATTGTTTGATGTATTTAAGTTATTTGGCTAGATTGAGCCGAACGTTGATGAATTGGTAAAGGAAAAACTAAATTGAGTATTGAATTGGCCAGATTGAGGTAAGTATCTTGCCTGACCTTGTGTGGGGGGCTTCCCCTTAGGATTTGAGTCTTCTATGTTGATTGTAATCCATGTATGCGAGGTGACGAGTGCGTGCTCGGACTTATTTGTGGGAAATTGGCCTTTAGGGTTCTTAGGTCCTTATATTTACTGTGTATGAAATTTTTCGGGATATGTTTGAGTTCCTAATTTTTGGTTTCACTCCTACATGCTTCAATTTGAATTAATTGCCTTAGGATTTACTCTTGTTGCCTATCTGACTCTTATTCGACTTAGCTGAAGATTTTGCCTCTCCTATCGTCATGTTATCTTTTCACAACTGCTTATCTTTAACTGAATTTATTGCTATCTCATCCTGTAATTATTTATTCTTAATTGAGGTTATGATTATCTCCCCACTGCTTATCCTAAATTGAAATTGTGTGAACTCTAAGTAATTGCACAACCTTAAAAGAAGTTTAGATGCCCTATATCCTAGTTGACATGTCCTTGTTTGTAATTATCTGGCTCGTATTAGCTTCCTTGTCGTTGTACTGTATATTGTGAAATCATTGTTACGTATTATTTTCTCCCTTGTTGAGCTGTTCTTATTTATGCCTATTTTCTTTACTGTGGTCGTTCCTTGTGAAAAGGTTCTACCGTGTCTTTGTGATTTAAAATTCTTGAGTTGATTTACTCACCATACTTTGTATTACTGTCATTGTTGCTGTTGTACTTTTGGTGTTGGTGCACGAGGTTCTGCCGAGCAGTTGTTGCTATGGGGTTGCACGAGGTTTCTGCCTTGCTGTTGTCACTACTGACTTATGCACATGCGACATGACAAGGAGGGATTATATACATATATTTATGTGTGGGTTGTGCATGTGGTGAGACAAGGTGGGAACATTATGATGCATGTGTGGCGAAATAAGGCGGGCACTTACTATATTATTATTGCACACGTGGCGAGACAAAGTGGGCTATGTCAGGGATTGATTGTGGTGATTTGTGATGGCATGGGGACATTCTTGTTGTTGATATTGTGTTGTGGTACGCTCACCTGTATGAGCTTTATCTCGTGAAAGTTTTGAGGAAACACCTTACGTGTTGTCCATTCTTTTCCTTACGCTTTTAGCGGGTATGATCTATGTTATAGCACTTGCACAAGCACACACGTAGTTAAACGACCCTATTGAATTAGAAGTACTCCTGATATTTTGAGTGTAGATGTACACCCTCACTTACTTGTCATATATGTGAGAGTGGCTCTAGTTAGCAAGTGAGTTGTCAGCATGATCATGAGATGTGATGAGGGCACAGGATGCCAAGTGTTAGGGTTCAAGTATTGAGACCCGTGAGCTGTAATTTTGTTCGAGGTTCGGTACTTCGTGAAGTTGTTGGCTAAGACCTGATGTGAAAACAGTCATAGTTTCTGAGTTATTACTTGCCTTTACTGTATTTGTGATTTAGGATTTGGGTTTGTGTTTCCGCTCTCTTTTCTATGTCATTATTATGGTGTTTCCACTGTTACTTGCTGCTTTCTTCCCTTATTGTGATTGTTGTATTGTTAGCCATGTCGTGTAGCCTTTATATTTACTTCATGTTCTGTTGTTACTATGCTTATATTTGTACAGTTTATTAGACCAGTAGGTGCCTTGACTGTTCCTCGTCACTACTCCACCGATGTTAGTCTCGATACTTACTGGGCACCACTGTGGTGTGTGCATGCTACTCTTCTGCATATTTTTGTGCAGATCCAAGTATTGATCGTTAGTAGCTATGCGGATCATTGCTGAGGAGACTCAAGGTAAACCTGTTGCAGCGTTCGTAGGCTTTGGAGTCACCTTCTTACTTGTATTCAACTGTTTTTACTCATTTCAGAACAATTGTATTTAGAAGTGGTAGCTAACTCTGTAGAGCTTATGACTTGTACTATCGGGTTTCAGGAACGTGTTTATTGTATAAAGAATTCATTTTAGAATTTTTTTTAGATGTTATTTATTATTGTTGTTATTCCGTAAATATTAGGCTTACCTAGTCCTTAAGATTAGGTGCCATCAAGATACCCAACGGAGGGGAAAAAAATTGGGTCGTGACACTTTTCAATTCAAGTGGCTCTTACCTTTTCAAAATAGTGCACCTTTCTCCTTATTTCATTAGTTCCACTCCAAAGCCAAACCAACCACCCCATACTTGAACTTTTACAAAGTTCATTACAATTCAAGTACTCATGAGAGGTGAAAAGGTTAAAATAGATGGTTAATTCAAACAAATGGGTAAGCTTGTAATGTGGTTGCAAAAGAAACATGATTACGACTCAAAGGGTTAACTACGATACATAGTAATTAGCAGGGTAATATATATATATATATATATGGCTCAACAAAGAAACGCCTATATCACTTCCCAGACTGAACAAAACTACTATTTCACTTTGCAAATACACGGGGCAAGTTCTAGACATCAAATACAATGCACAGAATAACACACAAACCCCACACACACATGGCACATAACTCACTCATGATTGGACTCATCAAGACACTCTAGTCAAAGCAGTTAAGAAAAATTAAGATCATACAATTTAAGGTACTTATACAAGAGTAAAAAACTGAGCCTAAGTGTCACAACCAAAGAACTCACTATGCCCAAGGCATAACAAAGTCAAGAGATATTGCTTCAATTCCAACAATAACACAATGGCTCCTACTCCTAAAAAAATAAACTAACTACACCCGGTTCAAACAAAACGCTTGGAAAAGAACCGTGACACAAAGAAAAACCAAGGGGTAATTTCAACATTACCTACAAAGAAAATCTTTTCGTCTTTTTCCTTTCGACTTAAATCCCTCAAGAAAACTGTCTAGGAGATCTATCGTCGGGAAAAGTCCAATTTTTTCTACTTTTTTTTAGTTAGATTTTCTTAGGAGCTACTAAAATACTACACAAATACAAAAACAAAAATAAGAAGTTAACATTTTTCTAACATACGACTACTAATTATCTAGAGAAATTCTCCCACCCCACACTTAAAGGAGTGCAGTGTCCCCAATGCCCAACTAAAGCAAAACAATAGCGAGGGTGGACAAGAAACTCCCTGAAAGGCCAAAGGCCGAAGCAATAGCGGCTCATGGATACTCAGACTTCCCCCTGGCATGGTCCTTTGTATGGGCACGCCACACTTAGTTCTCACCATCTAGCTCAATTTTGCACTCTTCCAATGGTTTTGCTTCCTATGCTTATAATCCTACAAAATAAAATCAAACACCACAAAAATAATATAATAAAAATAAAACTAAAGGAAAGCAGTAAAGTTGGGTTGCCACCCAATAAGTGCTTGATTTAATATCGCGGCACGACACGGAATCTCATCTACTCATTGGCAAGTAACATCTTTGACTGCTAACGATCAATGTCACTTCCATAATAGTGCTTTACTCTTTATCTGTTCACTAAGAACGTTCTCTCACTACCTAAGACGCACAGCTCAACTGTACCATGTGGAGTGACTCTCACTACCTTAAACGGGCCCGACCATATCGATTTGAGCTTCCCCGGAAAGAGTCTCAACCTTGAATTGAACAAGAGAACCAATTGGCTTGGTCCTTTCTTTATATAACTTCGCATTCTCATATGCGTGCAAGCGAAACTCATCAAGCTCGTTCAATTGCATCAATCGTTTTCTACCCACTAATTCTGCATCAAAGTTCAGCTTCTTTATCGCCCAATAGGCCTTGTGCTCAAAATCCACCGGTAAATTGCTTGCCTTCCCATAAACCAGCTTGTAAGGGGAGGTTCCGATTGGAGCTTTGTAGGCGGTCCGGTATGCCCATAGAGCATCATCAAGCTTTGCATCCCAATCTTTCCTACTTGCACTAACCGTCTTCTCTAGAATCTGCTTTATCTCTCTATTTGGCACTTTCAACTTGTTTACTAGTCTGAGGATGGTAAGCGGTCGCAACCTTAAGTTTGACCCCATATTTTGCTAAGACATTTTTCAATAGTTTGTTACAGAATGGGGTGCCCCCATCACTTATCATCACTCTCGGGGTGCCTAACCTTGTAAAGATATGTTTTTTCACAAAGTTCAACCTTGGTATCATTGGTAGGAAGAGCAATGGCCTCCGCCTACTTCGACACATAGTCAACGGCCACCAAAATGTACTTACAGCCATTGGACGAGGAAAATGAACCCATAAAATCAATTCCCCACACATCAAAAATTTCAACCTCCATAATACCATGCAATGGCATCTCATGCCTTTTCATAATTGTTCCTGTTCTCTGGCACCTATCACACCTCCTCACGAACTCATGGGCATCTTTAAATAACCTAGGCCAATAGAAACCCGATTGCAACACCTTTGCTACTATTTTGTTACCCGCATGATGACCACCATAAGGCGACGAGTGACCATCATGTATGATAGCATTTATTTTATATTCGGGCACACATTTTCTCATTAACTGATCAGTACAAGATTTGAACAGAAACGGCTCATCCCACACATATGATCTCACATCTCACAAGAACTTCTTTTTAGTACGAGGTTCATGATCAGGCGGAATTTATCCACTTGCCAGATAGTTTGCAAAATCTGCATATCATGGCACCTCCCCAGCAGTAACGACCAACAATTGCTCAGCCGGGAAGGTTTTCTTGATGACATCTCCCTCAACTACATGATTTCGAGTTTCTAACTTGGACAAGTGATCAGCCACTTGATTCTTTATTCCTTTACGGTCTCGGATCTCCAAGTCAAATTCCTGCAAGAGTATAACTGTAAGGCCCCGTGAAAATTTCTACTCAAAACCCGAAAGCTCGTAGTGCCAAGTTAGGAATATGTGTTAGAAATTTGTAAAAGCTCGCCGGTTCGAACCCTTTGGACTGATCTATGCATTAAAAAGTTAAGGAATAATGTTTTCCAGAAAAGTGCATTTATACGGTCCATTATGCGGTCGCATAATAGCTATATGGACCGCATAGTCGCCGCATAGTCAGACAGTTTGATGGTTCATTTTGAGGTCAACTATGCGGCCCATTATGCGACCGCATAATCAATATGCGGGCCGCATAGTCATCGCATAATCCCCTTGGAATTTTTGCGAAGGGCAGTTCTGCGGTGCATTATGCGACCGCAGAACAGGTATGCGGACCGCATTCTTGTCGCATACCCGGGTAGTTTGTTCGGGTTTTTGAAGCCATTTTTGCGGTCCCTTTTGCGGGCCGCATGTCCATTATGCGATCGCATATGCGATCGCAGATTGTGTCGGGGCTCCTATTTTCTAACTTTTAAAACCCAACCCCATTCCATTAAAAACACCCCATTAGACCCCTTTTATGCTATTTTACTGCAAATAGAGTGTGAGAGGAAGTTCTAGAGGGAGAGAGAGTGATCTTCATCAAGTCCCCACCCAATCTTTGCCTAAACCCTTGAAGAATTTCAAGTAAAGCTGCTAGGCCTTCACCCCAAGAGGTAAGAACTTGAGCCCTAACCTTTGGTTTCGAAATTCACACTAGAATGAGTAATTAGCTTGTGGTTCACGGGTATAAAAAGGATTTTCTTGCATGCATAAAAGATAATAGGGTATGGGGAGGTTGTGAACTAAAAAGATAGCAATTGGGGTGTAAGATGATGAAAATCTCTCACAAAAGGGTCCTAAAAATTACAATGCACACTTAGTGCTTGCTAATATGCTCAAAAGAGCTAGAACCTTAATCATGCCTCTAATTCTCCGTTTAACTTGTAATTTTCATAAAATAGATCGAAGTTGCTAGAAAATTCCGGAATTTACTGTAAGGATTTAAGGAAAGCTCTATTGAGGTATGTATGGCTAAAACCCCCTCTTCTTAGAAATTGAGCTTCCATGGTGTCTGTGCAAATGTTGTAAGTCCGAAATTTGATTGATGTAGTACTTGTTATATCGAATGAATTGATGTTGTGAAAATGTATGTGGAAGGTGCGTCTCCATGTGCTATTCTTTGTAAAAATTGAGGATGCGTGGATAACATGAGCTATGTGCTAAATGCCTAAATTTCAAGTCAAGGTTACATTGTGATTAATATGCCGAACTAGATGAATACCTCTCTATGCTTATAACTTGAATTGCTTTTGTATGTGCCTATGATCTTAAATGGCAAGGTTAAAGTTGAAAATGGGAATAATGTGAAACGTGAGTTATGGAATGTGGCCTAGTGCTAAGTATGATGTGGTAATTGTGGCCCCAGGTGCCGATGAACTAATACATGTGAAACCAAAAATTGAAGTGAGATGATTAACGGAAAAGGGTAACGTCTTGGTAAGACGACTTAGTCGATCGGGCCCTGATCGGACGCCATGCTACACACACATGGTGGTATTGTATTGATAATTGAAACTGGAAAGTGAGAATGAAATGAGGGTAACGTCTTGGTAAGACGGCTTAGCCGATCGGGCCGTGATCGGACTCCGCTCAAGAAAGCGGTGGTGTTGTGAATGATGATGTAACAATATGGAATGCCCCAACCTAAAGTTACGAAAACTATGTGTAAGCTATGTGATCTTTTTATATTGTTAATGTGGTGATTGTTTGAAGCTTTGTAGTCCTTATGATTTCTTTTTACTCTTGTATGGTTGTTCTTTCTAATAGGATGGTGTTTGGTTATACATACTAGTATTATTCCATGGTACTAACGTCCCTTTTTGCCGGGGGCGCTACATTTTTGAATAAATGTAGGTGGCTCCATAGCGGACAGTGCCGATCGTGCGTAGCGGAGTATCCTCCTCTCAAAGTCTTGGTGAGCCCCTTTCTCCTTCAAGGGGTTATGTTGTACATCTTTTGTTGTAGACTTCCACTTTTGAGGTATAGTCGGGGCCTTGTTGCAAGCGTTGTCATAATTGTATTTTATATCCTTAGAGGCTCCATTGACGTTTGTGTGGGTTATGTTCGGATATCGGATGGGTCAATGTACTGTATAGTAATTCTGAACTCTAGTTCTTCTAAACTGTAACTATATGAAATCTTGAAAACTTAGCCATGGTTTAAGGTTTGTGATATGAAAATGAATTAACAATGTTGAATGTACGATTTTTGCTATTGTCTAAATAAAAGAAATCATGGTTTCCTTAATCGTATTGAGTTGGGTAGAAAGTGTTAAAAAGGCTTGCTCAGTTGGGTTCACTCGATTGAGCGCCAGTCGCGCCTCCCGAGGTTGGGGCATGACAAACTTGGTATCAGAGCCTAAGGTTTTAAAGTGTCCTAGGATGTCTCGGAGCCGTGTCTAGTAGAGTCCTTATTATCGGTGTGTAGTCGACCACATCTATAAGTTGGAGGCTACTTGGGCATTTAGGAATAACACCCTTCTCTGATATTCTGGATCGTGCGGCAATTGTGAAACTATTCCCCCTCTAACTAGTGCATTCGTTCAATTTTCAGTACATGGCACCTAAGAATAAAACCAGGACTGGCCAAGGAGTCAATGCTGCCCCAGGAGCGGCAATTTGCTCTGTAATTGATGATGCGGGTGATAACCTGAGGGGTGAGGACATTCCCCCGACTGCTACACAAGTTCCTACACCTGCTGCGGGTGCTACTATCCCTCCCATTGATACTCCTGTTCTGCCTCCAGCCCCAGCTTCCGGTTCTGGTAATTTTGATGGGGATCTTAGGGGAGCTATTCAGATGTTGACTCAGCTAGTGGCCTCACAGGCCCAATGGTCAAATGTTGCGCCCAGTTCATCTAGTCAGCAAGGGGATTCCACCAGTTCAAGGGTAAACAGATTTCTTCAGTTAGACCCTCCAGTGTTTTCGGGTGCAAATCCAGAAGAGGACCCCCAGGATATTATTGATGATATGCACAAGACCCTCAGGGTTATGCGTGCAACTGAGACAGAGGGGGTAGAGTTGGCTGCCTACCCTTTGAAAGGGGTGGCCTATGCATGGTTTGAGTTGTGGGAAGATTCCCGTGAGGAGGGGAGCCCTCCGGCGGGGTGGAGCGAGTTCGCCGATGCCTTTATAGATCATTTCCTGCCTGCTGAGATAAGGGCAGCCCGTGCAGCAGAGTTTGAGAACCTGAAGCAAGGTGGCAGAAGTGTGTGGGAGTACCATATGGAGTTTGCCCGCCTGTCCAAGTATGCTATTCACATGTTGCCCACAATGGAGGCTAAGGTGCGCCGGTTTGTTCAGGGCCTTAATCCTTTGACTATTAATGAGGCTTCTACAGCTGTATTGAATTCTGACATGAATTATAGGAAGATGGTAGCGTTTGCTCAAGCCACAGAGAACCGTAAACTGAAGAACAGTATGGAGAGAGAGGGTAACAGAAAGACCCGGTCTATGGGCAACATGGGTGAGTCACTAGGTAGGGGAAGATCAGCTTTCTGGGGAGGATCATCAGGGACGTCCCAGTCTGTTGAACAGTCTTCAGCCAGCGCATCGCCAACAGGGCCCAGCCAACAGCAACAGTGGGGTCTTTTCAGGCCCAATCAGGGCAACAGGGGATCCCACCAGCGGGGTCGGTCAGGAGAGAGAGCCCAGCAGCAGCAGAGGTCCCCGTGCCCCCTGTCACACCTCCTTTTTTACACCCCGAGGTAATAAGGGAGTTTTTCCAATTAAACTGACATTATTCGAAATGAGATTAATTATTTATCAGAGTCGCCACTTGGGATAGTTTATTTGGTGTCCCAAGTCACCGGTTTATTTTAAATCCCAAATCGAGGAAGTTTTATTTTTAAAGAGTCTGCGAACCAGAAATTCTAGATAAGGAATTCTGTTAACCCGAGAGAAGGTGTTAGGCATTCCCGGGTTCCGTGGTTCTAGCACGGTCGCTTAGCAATTTATACTTGGCTTAATTGTTTAACTACTCATTTTTAAGACCTATGTGCAATTATCTTTCACCGCTTTTAATCACTTGATTTATTCGTAATTAAAGAATTGAGTTACGCGTACGTATACTCTTTTCTTTTGGCGCGTAAAAATCATGTCACGCGAACGTGTCCA